GAAGACCAGCATTCCCTTACTGAGAAAGGGAGTGGCAGAGACAAGTCTCAAGGACGATTTCGTACTTATCGCACTATATCATGGTGTCCGTATAAGGGTAGAGTTAACCCCACCGTTGACCACAGTTTGATTGGGAAAATCCAACATAGACATACTGTTGGTAAGAAGAGCTGTAGAGTGGGTTCACAACCCAGTCTTTACTCCGGGGTTTTATCCTCACACCTACCTGGTACTCATGAAGGACCCAGACAAGATGAGAATGATCCACAATCTCTGTGTTCAACGAACGTTTGATTCTTCATCAGTCTGTCTATCCATCCCAACCGTAGACTTTTCAGGTCCAGTTCATTGGGGTTCACTACCAATGGTAGTATTTCCCATTTGACATGTCAGTGACACTTATGGCTATTTACAGGAGTAATGAAGCCAATAACTATCTACACGTGACGAACACTTGGTTCGAGTCGTAGATGGAGGGCGATCTACTGTATCATCAACACATGTCAATAACTGGGATAGACATTCAACGAGGCGAAGTCGGGAGTATTCTCCTTCCTATTGACTTCAGTTCATAGGAGACCTGTTTAAGACAGACCAGGATATCCTATCTGTACCGAGGGACAGATGGCACAAGTTTCTACTTCTTTTGTCATCTACTCTACACCAACCACACACACTTCGCCAGTGGCAAGTGTTGCTAGGGTTAATCACCTCGGCACAGGAGTTAACTAGCATGGGCCGCTTACAACAGCGACCAATTCAATTTTTTTTTTTTCCCTGAACCCTTACATCAGGAGTCAGGATCCACTCAAGGCCATCACTCTACCAACTAAGCTAGAGCCTCAATTTGTGGCGCTGAATGTCTGCGGAGTCTGTTTATTCGGATTTTCCCCGAATACACACCTGTTTGTGGACGTCCCTTTTCAGGGGTGGAGTCTTCACTTACAAGACCAGATAAGCTCAGGGCTATGGCCCGGCGCACAATGGAAGTGGCACATAAACAACTTGGAGTTGGAAGCTTTAATTCTGGCTATATCACATTGGCAGAATCAACTACAGTTAGCCCGACTCGCTATATCCACAGACAACAGCACTGCGGTGTGGTGCCTGTGCAATCGGGGAACAACACACTCCCACTCTCCACTTCTAAGGACATTCAGATTTCTTCCATCTAGTGGATCGGCTGTGACTAAGGTTCATAGTTCAGCACATCCCCGGATGTAGAAACATACTGGCCGATACTTTATCACGTCCAGACAGGGTGGCTCCCACTGAGTGGAAATTTCTCACAGAAGCATTCCAGTTACTGCTTCAGGAATTCAGGCAACCAAACATTGACTTGTTTATTACTTGCCTAGGCCACCAACTCATGACGTATATCTCCCCGTTGCCGGATCCGCAGACTTGGGCGGTGGACGAGTTCAGTATCACTTGGGAAGGGCAAAGAACTAAAACTCTTCTGCCACCACTTTTACTTCCAAGATGCTACAGGGGATCAAGGAGACAAGGTATCTCGATCTCTCCTTTGGTCGCACCATGGTAACCGGCGAGAGGGTAGTTCGTCAAGCTCGGAAAAATCTAAAACGATTCACTTCCCCTCTCACAGTGGTCCAACCTACTCATCCACCCTCAACAGAAAATTGCCTCACCCAACGTCTGCACGCATGGTTCGTCTTTAAAAGGCGTTTAAGTGCGAAGGGTTATTTCGACACGGGCAGCAAAGCTATAGCTTTAGTTCATCGTTACTCTCCCAGAGACGACGATGACAAGTGGGGATCACTTGAGACTTTTTACAGGGAAGAAAAGAATCAAGACCCTACGATTGCGTCACAATTCCTAGAGGAATACCTCCTACATTGCGTACCCAAAAACACTTGGAAGGTAGCACCATTACTACGTAATTGGCTGCAATTATCTTAGTGTTGGCCGTTTCCGGAAAATCACAGTGTGATTAAGGTCACGGAACTACAGGCCATATTATGCTCATTCAGGTTTGAGGATCAGAAGGCCAAGTTCCAGCCACCTGATTGGGACTTGAACGTGGTACTTCGAGGTTTGCGAGGGCCCCCTTCGAGCCCCTCATTGCATCCTCATTTTCAAGCTCCTTCCCAGCGCGTGACACCTTCGTTACACTCTCGGTATAGTATAGAGAGCTCCGCGAATGGGCTATCGCTGTGAGGAGCTTGGACCTCACCAAGGAAACAATGGTTTCTCTTGGCATTAGCAATGGCGGTACGGGTGAGCGAACTACATGTGGTCGACTCAACCCGGATCCGTTTTGAGCATGGGACGCACGGAACAGGACATCTAGGGTTATGCTGGGATTTTATTGCTAAAATCTACTACCAGGCCAACCCGACCGTTCTTCACCATCCCACCGATATCGACTATTGTGGGAATCGTACATGGTGAAGTTCTCCTGGGCTCGGTGCGAGCAGTTCGAGTTTTCATTCGACGCTCCAAGACAAGGCGTGGTTCGTCCACGACAGAAGTTAGTCGCATAATCGCAAACACCATATCTATATGGTTACGCGCAGTAATCCTTCAGGCCTACGAGATCATCAAACGGAACTCGCCGAGAGCGAATTACCCTCAAGATCTCAAGGTGTCAGCCTTACCAGGGCTCAACACGGCAATTGTGGTTTTGGAACAATCACGGAAGGATATTTCTGGAGATTCGACACATATTTTCGTTAGTCATAACCTTCGCGTTGTGACTCTCGAGGATGTCAAAGACGTTCGAAGTTTGGCCCTCTGGTTGTTATCCTGCAGATTGCCAACCACTGACGCAAATAATGAACTCGCCCTATACAGAGCCAGTCAACTTCCATGTGCAGTCACTCAGTCGCCACCAGTGGAAGAATATTAGACAATCTTGTTTGTCAGCGACGGCTCTATGACGCAGTAAGTAAAGAATTAGCTGAATAGCTATTATTTTCTTTATTACTAAGCGTGTATAGGGAATTTCTCTTTAATTCCTATGTTCAATGTTTTTGATTTTTGAACAACCCTACCGTAATGGCGTTTTTGTCTGAACTTTTCCGCTTCACGGTTTATCGACCAAATGGGGTCGTATTGCAGGGTGTGAATTATTGAGGTTTCTGTATTCTGAAGGTTGACCCACCTCCAAACCGTCCGATACAGATGCATTAAGGAGTAATGCAGGATAAGTAAAAAATTTAGTAAAATCTAAATATTTTTTACATTTGTATACTTATCCTGCATTACTACGCTTAAGGCCCACCCGTCGTTAGACTTGCCTCCCCACTTTGGCTTCAGAAACCTCAAAAGTATGTTTTTCTAAGAGCTTGGGCGACAGGCAGTGATGTGAAGATGACCTTAGTTGTCATCAAGGTCACAGGACAGCGACGGAAGGCCACTGATTGGGACTTGAGAACAACAACTTTATTTCTTCACCCAGGACCTTCGCAGCGCTGTCCTTCTAGTTGTCGTAAGTAACAGTGAATGCATTAAGGAGTAATGCAGGATAAGTATACAAATGTAAAAAATATTTAGATTTTACTAAATTTTTATATTTTTGTCTATGACACTACTAGGTTAACACTTTTAATGTGGAAAAAGTACAAGAAAAATAGCTTCATTTCCGTGTGAACTTGCCCTTAAGCACAGAAAAACCTGTCTTAAAAAACCAGGCATCGCTTTATAGGAACTGTATTCAGCAGAATCAGACATTACACGTTTTGCAGTGAATATCACTTCTCCGTAGCCGCCTTTGTTATTTAAGATGGTACCAGGATAGGCCAAGTGCACCCATATCAAGGACTTGGGTACCGCACCAGGGGAGATAACTCACATATTTACCTGTCTAATATGTATAGTGCAGAGATAGAAGAGAAATTTCAAAGTATAATCTCAGGATGCTATTTGAGGCTCTATCATGCTGAGAATAATATCAAAATGTTGATTATGTGTCAAAGGCATTTTGTGCACGCCAAGTTGGTGGTTCCAGGACATTACAAGTGTCCTTCGATGCGATACATAATACATACCAGGGATTTGTCTAGAATTCCAAACAAAGTGCCCTTGGCAGGCAAATGTGAACACAATTGTTATTTAGTTCATAATCAGGATTTCTGAGGGATTAGTAATAAAACGTACAACTGTAGGGATAACAACTTCTGGCTTATTGCATATGGAGACGTTTCAATGTAGATTCTTAAACTGTTATCAAACTTTCTTGAAGGTTGATATTTTTGTAATTTCAGCGGTATGTTCTTTTGTCCTTTGAGATGATGTCCTCAGACACATATTCTTGTGTCCTCAGACAAATATATTCTTCAGAGCTCCAGATAAGCTGCGTATCTGTGTAAAATACGCATCAGAAATGCAGAAATACGCAGTAAAATAAAATCCAAGCGTATCAAATACGCAACGAACATACACTACAAAAATAAAACTTGTGCGTATCATCAAAATATTGTAAAGTAGCCCTGTGTATTTGATTCGCAAATCAGCAACTTATTTTGAAATTATAAACAGGCATTCTGTCAACCTTGCCAAACTCCACGATGACAGTTACATCATGATCGTTTGCAGTCACACTTTCTTGTGGAAGTATCATGGTATTTTTGAGTCCTATAAAGCTCTCGAACCCACACGACACCAGTTTGCAGGGACTAGATGAAGTGTTTTTAAATGTTTAACTTAAATACCCATATGTGTAAAAACTAGTGGGTAACAGAAATTTGAATACTCAGATAGAATTACTGATACCCGATGATTTTAAAATGCATGGGTAATATACCCACAACACCAAAAGCTTATCTCAAGCTCTGTTCTTGTATCAGACACCTATGTTCTTGTGTCCTCAGACACCTATGTTCTTGTGTCCTCAGACACCTATGTTCTTGTGTCCTCAGACATACATGTTCTTGTGTCCTCAGACACCTATGTTCTTGTGTCCTCGGACACCAATGTTCTTGTGTCCTCGGACACCTATGTTCTTGTGTCCTCAGACACGTATGTTCTTGTGTCTCCAGAAAGCCAACAAAGAGGACTGCAAGTGTGACCCCTGGACTCACATGGCCCGACACAAGCTGGAGGTCGAGAGGGACCTCGAGAACATCCCCGACCTCAACTACATCATCGTGAGACCCGCCATCGTCTACGGGCCAGGGGATAAGAATGGTTTAAGTAAGTAATATATCCTGATTGGATTGTTTTCAATGCTGGCAAAAGAGAGGTACTCAAGGGTAAAATATGATCTGCAAAAAATTAATGAGAGAAATACCAGCTGTAAGGATGGAAGGTCCCTGTGAGCTGATTTCTTCCATTTGGCGGTCGGGTAGCCTAGTGGTTAAAGTGCTCGCTCGTCACGCCGAAGACCCAGGTTTGATTTCCAACGTGGGTACAATGTGTGAAGCACATTTCTGGTGTTCCCTGCCGTGATGTTCCTGGAATATTGATAAAAGCGGTGTAAAAACCATACTCATTTACTCACTCCATTGTCTGCATCCAATGTTTACCTGTAAAAGTTTGATGCCTAGTGTCATGTGATATTGGACTAAGAGTTTCATTGTTTGTGACATTACAAACAACATTTTACAGATTTTTTGGGGAAAAGAAAATATTTAAATTTAAAGTCAAGAAAAAGTGTGTGAAAATCATCCTCGATTATATCAATGTATATAGGGTAAAGTAAAAGGTGACTATGCTTGTAGTAACAGGCGACTCACTGACTTCGTTGATGCATGTCATCGTATCCCAATTTATGGGATAGATGCTCATGATGTCAATCACTGGATTGTCTGGCCTAGACTCGATTATTTACAGACCGCCGTCATATAGCTGGAATACTGCTGAGTGTGGTGTTAAACAACAAACAAACAAAACATTTTAATAGGGCTCAAAATGACTCTATGTTGGCAAATGGGTCCAGGATACTGATCAAAACAGAAAGGAGATATAATTGAGGATGGAAACTCATTGAAAATCCAACAATCCATCCAAATAAATGTTAATCACCTGGCATATTATTGCGGCTGGAGGATGATGACTAGAGGAGCTGGTCGAAATAATTGAGACAGGTCCAGACCATCCAGTGATTGACATCATGTGCATCGATCTTCGCAATTGGGATACGATGACATGCATCAATCACGTCAGCGAGCCTGACAACCCTTTCCCATTTGTTGCCTCTTATGATCAATTTTAACCCGGAATCTCCACATGACTATTGCATTGATAGGCACAAACCTTTATGTGATAATATATGTATGTTTGTCGGCAGCTCCGCGACTGATTATTGGTGCAATATACAAGTACATGAAGGAGAAGATGAAGGTGAGTGTCCACACCCTGGAACGTAATGGGGGGGGGGGGGGGGGGGGGGGTTAGCCCTGTGGTTAAAGCGTTCAAATGCCGGAGTCCCTGGTTCAATTCCCCACGTATGTACAATGAAGCCCCTTTCTGGTGTCCCCCGCCGTAATATTGCTGGAATATTGCTAAAAGCAGCGTAAAACCATACTCACTCACTCTTTTGTATGACCAAGGTGGGAAACCTCCCTTGTTTCCTGTGTGACCTGGTATCAACATAGTATATACCTCCGTGGTCTAGTGGAAGAGCCTATCCCGGCCACGTCATACCAAAACATGTTAATAGATTATACATGTACTGGTTGTTACTCTGCCTGACCCTCGGCATTATGGGGCCAAAACAAGGACTGGTCGGCTGGGAGTCAGTATACTGTGTCTGAGTCGGGTATTCATGTTAAACTGTGGCATGGTAAAATCGGCATCAGTCCGGACAAGTACAAGCAGCCACACACACACGTGCATGCACATCGCTATCTAAGTGCAATAATCTTGGATCCCATTTCACCTCACCAGGTATCAACATCTAAAAAACAAGTTTTATCTTGGACTTTAGTGGTAGTTTGTTACACTGTCGTTACCCTGTATCTTCAGATATAAGACAGCTACGCGATAAATCACAAAGAACAATGGAGAACGAAGTATAAAACTTTGTTCTATCATGACGTCATTTCTGGAGATTTGAATATGCGCTCACAACTTCAGGCCTCAAAGTTTCAATTTTTACCAAGTAGCCAATGACTACAAGTATTTTTTTCCAGGAAGCCAGTGGTAAATTTAAGAAGTCGAGCCAATAGTGTAGCCAAAAGCATTAAATTATCTTTTGTCAAATAACTTCTATTGTATATAAGTGGAAACTGTACTTGATTTTTGTTATTTGTGACTCGAATAATGATGCAATTTATGTTAGTAGATTATATAGGTATATCCTTGCTTATCCAACTGAAATAAAATACTAATTCCATTAATATTTATGTATTTCTGTTCATTGTCGAATACAGGAGGAATTATACGTAAATTATCTTTTATGAAATAAGTATTATAATATGTACAAGTTATAGCACTAGTCTTGGAATTGTTTTTTAATGGTAACTGTACTTGATTTTTGTTACTTGTGACTCGAACAATGATACAGTTTATGTTACGAGATTATATAGGTATATCCTTGCTTATCCATTGAGTATTGTCAACTTAAATAAAGTACTCATTACATTATTATTTATGTATTTTTGTTCGTTTATTTCTTAATTAACATTTACTAGTCACTAGTAGTGTCTTACTTACATCTGAGTAGGTCTTGTATCATATTATAACTTACACTGAAAGATGGAGCTTGGGGCCAAGGCAAATCTATTACATCCTGCAGGTCAAGTGGATGATTATTGCTTGTAAAACCTGAGGGTCATGAAAAAAGCACATTCCTTCATCTTCAACCTCATTTCACAAGGTGGCTTTAGTTTTGTAACATATGGCCCTTTAACCATCAGATGCTGTGGACCAAAGACCTGAAGATGAACACGATCCATGTGGAGGACCTGTGTGCCGCTGTGTGGACCTTGTGTCAGCAGGGCAAGCCAGGACAGATATACAACCTGGTGGACAAGGGCGATACCAGTGAGTATGTCAGATATACACCAGGTGACATGAAGGGCAGATAGACAACCTGGTGGACAAGGGCGATACCAGTGAGTATGTCAGATATACACCAGGTGACACACAGGGCAGATATACAACCTGGTGGACAAGGGCGATACCAGTGAGTATGTCAGATATACACCAGGTGACACGCAGGGCAGATATACAACCTGGTGGACAAGGGCGATACCAGTGAGTATGTCAGATATACACCAGGTGACACACAGGGCAGATATACAACCTGGTGACACGCAGGGCAGATATACAACCTGGTGGACAAGGGCAATACCAGTGAGTATGTCAGATATACACCAGGTGATACATGCAGGGCAGATATACAACCTGGTGGACAAGGGCGATACCATTGAGTATGTCAGATATACACCAGGTGATACATGCAGGGCAGATAGACAACCTGGTGGACAAGGGCCATACCAGTGAGTATGTCAGATATACACCAGGTGACACACAGGGCAGATAGACAACCTGGTGGACAAGGGCGATACCATTGAGTATGTCAGATATACACCAGGTGATACATGCAGGGCAGATAGACAACCTGGTGGACAAGGGCCATACCAGTGAGTATGTCAGATATACACCAGGTGACACGCAGGGCAGATATACAACCTGGTGGACAAGGGCGATACCAGTGAGTATGTCAGATATACACCAGATGACACACAGGGCAGATAGACAACCTGGTGGACAAGGGCGATCCCAGTGAGTATGTCAGATATACACCAGGTGACACGCAGGGCAGATATACAACCTGTAGGACAAGGGCGATACCAGTGAGTATGTCGGATATACACCAGGTGACAAGTATGTCAGATATACACCAGGTGACACGCAGGGCAGATATACAACCTAGTGGACAAGGGCGATACCAGTGAGTATGTCAGATATACACCAGGTGACACACAGGGCAGATATACAACCTGGTGGACAAGGGCGATACCAGTGAGTATGTCAGATATACACCAGTTGACATGCAGGGCAGATATACAACCTGGTGGACAAGGGCGATACCAGTGATTATGTCAGATATACACCAGGTGACACGCAGGGCAGATATACAACCTGGTGGACAAGGGCGATACCAGTGAGTATGTCAGATATACACCAGGTGATACAAGCAGGGCAGATATACAACCTGGTGGACAAGGGCGATACCAGTGAGTATGTCAGATATACACCAGGTGACACACAGGACAGATATACAACCTGGTGGACAAAGGCGATACCAGTGAGTATGTCAGATATACACCAGGTGATACATGCAGGGCAGATATACAACCTGGTGGACAAGGGCGATACCATTGAGTATGTCAGATATACACCAGGTGACACACAGGGCAGATATACAACCTGGTGGACAAGGGCGATACCAGTGAGTATGTCAGATATACACCAGGTGACACATGCAGGGCAGATATACAACCTGGTGGACAAGGGCGATACCAGTGAGTATGTCAGATATACACCAGGTGACACACAGGGCAGATAGACAACCTGGTGGACAAGGGCGATACCAGTGAGTATGTCAGATATACTCAGGGCAATACTTATACATTCTTGTTAAAATCAAACCTTTTACTCTGATATCTCCACACAAGATCTCACCAGGTGAACCCTGAATTGTTTGGATTGATGCTCATGATATCAATCACTGGGTTGTCTGGTACAGACCCGATTATTTACAGACCACCGTCATACAGCTGGAGTATTGCTGAGTGCAGCTTTAAACAAACAAACAAACAAATATAAAAAAACTTTTGCTTGTATTTCAGGAAATTATTGCGTCAAATACGCAGAAATTACGTGTCATGTTATTGTGAACTTCTCCATTTGCAGCACAAGGGAGAATCAGTGAGCTGGTATCGGAAATCTTTGACATCAACTTTGACTTTGTCGGCTCCATAATGTCAAATATGGCCAAGGTGAGTAATAGTTTGTATGTCATGTTAGTGCTACATTCCCTTTCATCATCTTGGAGGACAATTACCATTGCATGTCATCGAATCCCAAATACATAGAATGTTGCTCATCGGTGCTCATGATGTCCATCAGTGGACTGTCTGGTCCAGACTTGACCACCGTCAAATAGCTGGAATATTAATGAGTGTGGTGTTGCACAACAAAGAAACATCAGACACACATATCTCGCTTGTTCTTTGGATTTAAGGACCCTATAAGATACGGGGTAGAATAGGTCTTCAGCAACCCATGCTTGCCATAACAGACGACCAACGGGATCGGGTGGTCAGGCTCACTGACTTGGTTGATGCATGTCATCGTATCCCAATTGCGTAGATCAATGCTCATGATGTCAATCACTGGATTGTCTGGTCCAGACTCGATTTTTTACAGACGACCGACATGTAGCTGGAATATTGCTGAGTGCGGCGTTCAACAACAAAGAGACATCAGACACACATATGCCTGGTCAAGACTCGATTATTTACAGACCACCAACATATAGCTGGTATATTGCTGACTGCTGTGTTAAACAATAAATAAAGAAAACCATCTGTCGCTGAGAACAGTGGCCAAATTTCTGATATTTGGAGCACCTCCGTGATGTAGTGGAGAGAGTATCTGGAGAGAGGAATGCCTGTGGTTCAATCCCATGCTGCGTCATTATACTCATACCAAAAGATGTTACACTTTAGTACTTGGCACGCTGTCTGGTGCTCGGCATGAAGGGGCTAAACCAAGGACTGGTCAGCTCGGAGTCCGTATACTGTGTCTGAGTGGGGTATTCATTAAACTGCGGCAGGATATCTCCCCGTGGGCATTCTGGGTTAGAAATGGCTCCCAGCAACCTATGCTGGTCGTAAGAGGGGGGTTCAACTTGGTGACCTAGTTAATTGTGTGTCTACGTACCCCAGCTGCGTAGTCATATCGGTGATATCGGTGGATTGTCAGCTTCAGACAAGATTATGTACAGACTGTCATCAGACTGCTGGAATGTTTCCACGCATGCACGCACGCACACACAGAGACACACACACACTAAATCTTTAAATATCCTGTCATTATAAAATTCATATGAAAATGATTGGGAATGCCCAAAGTAAGATATCATGTCATACAAAACCCAAATTTGGAAAGGTGAAATTCCAAGGGGAGATAATTCCTCTTTTGGTTTCAGTTGAACATGACGAATGTGGTGGAGGACATCAACGACAAACACATGGCACCATGGGCCGACGCCTGTCAGCGAGACAACATCGTCAACACACCGCTCAACCCCTTCATTGACCAGGTACAAAACTAGTCTCGTTGTGGTTGGCGGAGCCATCGCTGCATCTCAGCTGTCTATGGCACAGTGGCAAGACGTCATTGACAAGTTGAAATATGAATGATCAATATCAACACAAGGGATCGACTTAACTGTGGCCACAGGGCTTGCTGAAACGTAAAGTAGATGGCCCGTCAAGGCTTGTGAAAATGTCACCCAGCAACCCATGCTTGCCGAAAAGGCGACTATGCTTGTCGTAAAAGGCGACTAACGGGATCAGGTGGTCAGGCTCGCTGACTTGATTGATACATGTCATCGATCCCAATTGCGTGGATCGATGCTCATGATGTCAATCACTGGATTGTCAAGTCCAGACTCGATTATTTTACAGACCGCCGTCATATGGCTGGAATATTTCTGAGTGCGGCGTTAAACAACAAACAAACAAACAAAATGTCACCCCTTCTCTGTGTATGTTTAATTTTTGTTTATTGGACACTGCTGTATGAGAAAATATTTAGGGGGATGGGGTTGTGTGAATGGTTAACTTGAAGAAAAATATATGTCGATCATCTCGGTAGAATGGCTACCGGACGCCATTTTGTAATGTTTATAACAATGTCTTTATTTGCTCATAAAACACAAGGGGGAACGGGTGACCCAGTCGTCTAAGGCACTGCGATTTGCTGTGCAGAGTTACATCCCTTGGGCACGCCAGAAACCTATGATTGTGGGTTCGAATCCCGGTTCGCCCCGATTATGTTTCTAGGTTTGTCAGCACCATACCCATGCTCGTGGGTTTCACCGAAGTGATAAACGTCTGAGACCTGCATCACTTCTGGCTTTCCTCCCACATTAAGCTGACACGCCGTGATATAACTGTAATAGTGTTAAAAGCGGCGTTAAACCCAACTCACTCACTCACTCATAAAACACACTGAAAAGCCAAGATATAACCTCAGAGCACAGGAAGAGGTGTTTTAGCGGGGAGGAGTTCTAAAAGATTTCAGAGCCCCATTAGGTGGCTACACGACCTCAGCTTCGGCCACTTCACAGCCTCCACCATATAGGTGTAGGCCAGCTAGTTTGGAGAAGGGCCAGTAACTTTTAAAAGGAGCAAGCCCTGCTGGCTACATACAAATTTGTTGTTAAATCTACCACTGAACACTCAGCTCCAAATATTCTGCACATTTGCATAAAGTATGCAAAGTACTTCAACATAACTCTATAACTGTTGAGTTGACTGTGTACAAATACACAGCAAGAAATTCAGTCACCCAATAATATAACAGCACTGTAAGTAAGTAGATGATCCACCAAACAGTATCTTGCTGTTTGATTTTTTCTTATGAGAACCAATCAATATTTGGGGCGCTGGGTATCCTAGTGGTTAAAGTATTTGCTTTCCCACATGGGTACAATGTGTGAAGCCCATTTCTGGGTCCCCCGCCGTGATATTTCTGGAATATTGCTAAAAGTGGTAAAACCATACTCACTCACTCACCAAATCAAAACACTTAAGAGACCGGGTGGTCAGGCTCGCTGACTTGGTTGAAGCATGTCATTGTATCCCAATTGCGTGGATCAATGCTCATGATGTCAGTCACTGGATTGTCTGGTCCAGACTCGATTATTTACAGACTACTGTCATATAGCTGGAATATTACTAAGTGCGAACAAACAAAGTTTGGTTGGTATTAGATAAGGAGGTCCTTTTTCTGCAAGACATTCACAGATGTATTTCAGATGGTTCGCAACAAGGCAAGCCGATTACCGGTGATATTCTGCTTGTTCAAAAGTGAAACATAAGTACCGTATTCGACGTAATAAGTGCCCAGGGCGCTCTCAAAATCAGAAATAGGGGGCTCTTATTAGAATATTATTTTGGTGGAAAAAAAACAAAGTTGAAAGATAAATTTTGTGGTTGATGCTGACAGCCTGAAATGTTAACATGCGACAGATATATTTTTCCAGAATTCAATTGCCCATAATTTAGGGTGCATATAAGACAAGAGTGCGTATTATACCCATATACATAAGTCTTGTGTTCATTGATCAATCGGAAGGGGTGCTAATATCGCCATGGGCGCTTATTAGAGCAGGGCGCTTATTACGTCGAATACGGTAATTTGATTGGATAGCTTTTTAAGCATCTTGTCAGTCCAACGCTAGATGCAGGTATATTATGACCGGATGTGGGAGGCCGGAGCTGATGGTGGTGGTGTGTGTGTGTTCCAGGAGCTGCTGTACAACAAGCACCTGTGTCTGGACCCCGCCCGACTGACAGGCATGGGCTTCACCTGGGAGAGGCCGAGTCTGTGTGTCGACACCCTCCGAGAGGTGAGCACCTTCTTACAGGATCCATGATGGATGTACAGATTAGATAGTCCTCTTTCCACCTTTTATGTGCTTTTTTTTAACCCTTTCAGCCCTATTTTTCCACATGAAACAACGTCTAATTTTTTAATTTGACAACTGACCATTTTGAGGCAAACATTCTGGAACCTAACAAATTAAATAAACAGGTCTTACAGCCTATCACCCTATCTTAAGCCATAGACCGCCTCCGTGGTCTAGTGGTAGAGCGTCTGCCCAGAGAGCAGAAGGTCCGTGGTTCGATCCCTGACCGCGTCATACAAAAAGACGTTAAAAGATGGTACTTGTTGTTACCCTGTCTGGCACTCGGCATTAAGGGGCTAAAACAAGGACTGGTCAGCTTGGAGTCGGTATACTGTGTCTGAGTGGGGTATTCATGTTAAACTGCCGCATGGTATCTCAGTGGGCTAGGGGCGGTCGGGTAGCATAGTGGTTAAAGCGTTCGCTCATCGCACCGAAGACCCGGGTTCTATTCCCGACATGGGTACAATGTGTGAAGCCCATTTCTGGTGTCCCCCGCCATGATATTGCTGGAATATTGCTAAAAGCGGTGTAAAACCTCACTCACTCACTCACTCACTCGGTGGGCTAGCACTATAAAACCAGCATCTTGAACACAATGTTAAACTTTTCTTCACATGTATAGGTTGTTGTACGTTTCAGGTCCTGGACGACTACATCAAGATGGGGCTGTTTCCAACATCGTTGCTGTCGGGGGAGGTGTTCTACAGTCAGCCAGTCGGGGACTTGGTGGACGGGGAGGCAGGGGAGGCAGGGGAGGATGGAGAGGGAGGGGAGGCCGATACCGTGTGATGCGCACCACTGCGCGTATGGTACAACCACACGATGTAGATGTTTTAGTATCACGTGGGATGATACATGATTTATACACTTGCTTTTGTATATGTTGGTACGTTGTGTATACATTGATGGTGTGCGCGTGAAATGATGACAGGTTGCCTAGCAACTGAAATATATGTCACAGAACCATGTAAAAGCGCTGTTTACTGATGTTATGCATTCCAAAACAGCTTTTCCCGATATGACTGTGAGTGTCAGTGTTTGTATTTGGCCAAGTGTGTTCAGTTTGAAAGCTTACATTCTTCTATGTATACTACTCAACATTTGCTAAGGGCCACATCTTTGAGTAAAGATGACTATTTTGACCTTTGTCAAATGTTGACTTGTAAGGCTAAAAAAAATTATAATCTTGGTTCTCAGGCATAGCCCACATCAACATAAAGTCTGCTGCATGTTAAGTTTTTATTTCCATTTTAATTTATTTTTTTATAAAAATCTGAATACTTAAAAACAATGCGATCCAATATAGCTTTCAATTACTACCCTTTACATGCGCACTGCTTTACTGCGCAACTTGTGTCATGGTAATGACGGCAATAGGAGTTTGTATACTTGTTAATGTAGGGAGGCCCTTTCCCAGGTTGATGGTACGCAACTGATTATTTGGTAACATGCTAGTTTGAACAAGCAAAAAAAAAAACCACTAGCCACCCGCTCTATTTTTTCAAAAGTCTGTGCCTGAGAACTGATTCTTTAATTTTTTAAACCTAATAGTAATGATATATAGATAGTTATGCTGGCATATACATAAAGGTTATTGCAATAACAGTGGTTCATTTAGTAGTTTAGTATTACCAGTGTGTGACACTCGTGGACAATGAAAATTACAGGTTCACTCCATGTTGGTACTTGACCCCCTGTGCCGTCTGTGGGATCAAGTAAATATAGTTCCAGGGAAAATGTAAAACATGCTTTTATTTTGTAGAATTTACATTTAAATCGGGCACCTTTCAATACATACGTTTCAAATTGAAATGCATTCCTGTGACACATAGGGAGAAAGTAATATCACATAGGGAGAAAGATATCACATGGTGAGAAAGTAATATCACATAGGGAGAAAGTAATATCACATGGTGAGAAAGTAATATCACATAGGGAGAAAGATATCACATGGTGTGAAAGAAGGATATCACTAGAGGAGAAAGAAACATATCACAAGGAGAGAAAGAAACATCACATATGGAGAAGGAAACATATCTCATGAGGAGAAGTAAGATATTACATAGGGGGAAGGAAAGATATCACATGGGGAGAAAGAAAGATATCACATGGGGAGAAAGAAAGATATCACATGGGGAGAAGGAAAGATATCACATCTGGAGAAAGAAACCTATCACACGGGGAGAAAGAAATATATCACAGGGGAAAAAGAAATATATCACATGGGGAGAAATAAAGATATCACAAGGGAGAAAGAAAGATATCACATGGGGAGAAGAAAGGATATCACATGGGGAGAAATATAGATATCACATGGGGAGAAATAAAGATATCACAAGGGAGAGAGAAAGATATCACATGGGGAGAAGGAAGGATATCACATGGGGAGAAATATAGATATCACATGGGGAGAAAGAAAGATATATCATGAGAAGTCAGATATTACCTGGGGAGAAAGAAACATATCACATGGGGAGAAAGTATGTTATCACATGAAAAAACAACCCAGAGTGGATGGAAAACAACACGTAAGACAAGGACTTATTGTTATGAAGGTGGTCTATATGGAGAAACACAGGGAAATATAGGGGAAACTCAGATCACAAGGGGGGAAATATGGTGGGGAGAAAGAACAGTATCATAGGATGTTGGAAAACAGCCTGACACCAGAGGAAATGTTTGTTTTCAATAGCTACAAATGTTTATTTAATGCTTATAATGTATGCATACAACAAAGTTTATTTTAACAGCTTTACTATGTCAATATTCCTCGAGTCTGTATTATATGCAACACGTGACCATACACCATATCAGAACTAAGCATATCAATATTGTGGGCGGTCGGGTAGCCTAGTGGTTAAAGCGTTCGCTCGTCACGCCATAGACCCGGGTTCGATTCCCGACATGGGTACAATGTGTGAAGCCCATTTCTGGTGTCCCCCGCCGTGATATTGCTGGAATATTGCTAAAAGCGGCGTAAAACCATACTCACTCACTCACTCATATCAATATTTAGTACTGAGTATATCAAATTCACTACTTACTTAAACTTGTTTGTTATGACCATTATGTAAATGTTTGTTTATATATTTTGCTTGTTATTTGGACCCATTTTATCTTTTAAGCATTTCGACATATTTGTATACAGTGCTATGTATGTTTCACATGTGTTCAATACAATTATGTGATCGGACAGATATTTTTGACACAAATGGATTGCCTGAATTGATTAGCAATATGTTTATATATGTGACGTCACACCCATTACCAAAATCATCAGACCCGTGAAGATCCGGGGTAGAATAGGTCTTCAGCAACCCATGCTTGCCGTAAAAGGCGAATTTTGTCCTCTCTTCAAATTTAGCTGATTCTGCTCGGTTTCCAAATTCATTCCCATGATTGACCAACAAGCTTTGACAACTTACAAATTTCAAACATGTCACCTAAAAGTGACTTACAGCATTCATGCACTCAGTTTCTAGGTTTTGAGTAGATATTTACATAAAGTCCAAATTTGCTTTTTGACAAAAACTATTCAAAGAAAATTCACTACAGTTACAACTCTTTGATCAACAATTTATTTGTTGATCACCTAAATATTAGTTGACCATGTTGCCTATGGAATGACACACATTTTACGTGCAATTTTTCTGTCATCAAGGTAAATGATAGGGAATTAAAAAGAAGTTCCGTCACTGCCAAGTGTTGGTCAGCTCATGACTTGAAGACAAAGGAGCGTGATATGAATATTATTATTTGCTTTTGTGATGGAATATTGTTCCTAAACATGAAAAGAGTGTCAAATTTGTGTAGCTTATGAATTGTATTGCGACCTCACTATCTACAATGTATTATTACAGCCGTAGTCCATACGCTTCCACTGTTGCCAGTATTACCTGAAGCTGCTGATGCAGTAGAGAATATTCACCTTTACAATCGCACAAATATTCCAATTGTGGTGTACCTTCATGTCAGTGTGTTCGTTCCTAGACGTTTGATGCATCCTTCATGTAGTAGGCCTTGACTTTTGTATCAACATTAATGTAGTTGACCTTTGACCTTGACATTCATGTGGTTGACCTTGACCTCTTCAACATTCACATGGTTGACATGGATCATTGAGCAATCATTCTTGTCGTTGACCTTGACCTCGACCCCTTCAACATTCATGTGGTTGACTTTGATCATTGAGCAATCATTCATGTCTTTGACCTTAACGTATTTTTTCATCACGTATATTATCGACCTTGTTATTAAAATGTCAACCTTGCAACAATTCATACCCAAATGGCTGACAGGCCATACCTCTTCTTTATTGAAATATACATGCCATATCTCTCCTTTATTGAAGTATACAGACCATTTTTCTCCTTTATTGAAGTATACATGCCATATCTCTCCTTTATTGAAGTATACATGCCATATCTCTCCTTTATTGAAGTATAAATGCCATATCTCTCCTTTATTAAAGTATACATGCCATATCTCTCCTTTATTGAAGTATACATGCCATATCTCTCCTTTATTGAAGTATACAGACCATCTTTCCCCTCTATTGAAGTATGTAGACCCTTTTTCCCCTCTATTGAAGTATGCAGGCCATATCTCCCCTTTATTGAAGTATACAGACCATCTTTCCCCTGTATTGAAGTATGCAGACCATCTTTCCCCTGTATTGAAGTATGAACACCACATATTTACTGTTTTGAAGTACATAGACCATACCTTTCCTTTATTGAAGTATACAGACCATTTTTTCCCTCTATTGAAGTATGCAGGCCGTATCTCCCCTGTATTGAAGCATACAGATCACATCTCTCCTTTATTGAAGTATGCAGACCATATCTCTCCTTTATTGAAGTATACAGACCATTTCCCCCCTCTATTGAAGATGCAGATCATTTTCCCCCTCTATTGAAGTATGCAGGCCATATCTCCCCTTTATTGAAGTATGCTTCACTGAAGTGTACACACCATATCATGTTTTAGCCATTTTCACATTTAGTCTTAAAGATGTTGGTCCAGCAATGCTTTAATGACAACAATCTTTATGTGTGTAATGTACTGTACTTATCTATCAAAGGATCAACATCTCCTTGTGGTACCAGAACATATGGTGATAGATCATTTCAGCATGCTGGACCATTGCTATGGAACAATGTGCCACAAGGAATCTGAGAAACAGAAAATCTGACAAACTTGAAATGAACACTCAAAACCTGTCTGTTCAAGAGAGCCTTTGAAAAGATCAATCATGGTCTAAGCACATTTGAGAAGTTGTTAATTGGAAAATGCGCTATACAAATGCTTAATTTAATTAATTAATTTAATTATTGGAGATGTAGCTTGGGCAAATGACAATGTAAACAAACACTAACAGGCTTGTACAATGTATCTAAACCAGAGATATGCCAGAGATATCCCGTCTTCATTCTGAACATAACCCATTGTAAGTGTAGAACAGTTGAATGTTGAGGTCAAACCAAGATATCCTTAATTACTAATGCGGGGGCGGTCGGGTAGCCTTGTGGTTAAAGCGTTTGCTCGTCATGCTGAAGACCCGGGTTCGATTCCCAACATGTGGACAATGTGTGAAATCCATTTCTGGTGTCTCCGGCTGTGATATTGCTGGAATATTGCTTAAAACAGCGTAAAACAATACTCACTCACGCACTCACTATTAACTAATGCAAGAAACAAAACCACATCGAATCAACTAATCAACGACAATTTTCTCACGTGTAGCTGGGTCAACCTGTAAATCAGGCTAGGACTCTGTAACTTTAACACGACTGACAGAAGAACACTTTAGATCTAGTACCATACTTTTTTTTAAATATTTTATTGAGTTTTCATTTTTGTAACAATTTCAAAGTGTAAGCACTTGCTTTTTGTGCTGTGTAGTAGCTACGCCATTGCTTTTACTAATCAAATCAGCTACACAAAATAGACCTGACAATAAGACCAGACCTGTTTTATTTCTTCTTTGGCTGATTTCCTGAGGCAATATTCAAAGATGATGGAGGCCAAATATTATAGAATAATGGTTGATTACAAAAAATGAATTTGAACTTGATAGAAAATTGAAATAACATTTGAAGATGTCTGTTGATTGTTAAGGCATATGGTTTATTGTTTCAGAAAATGTTTAGCATTTAAACAAAGAAGTGTAATTGACCAGGTAGAGAATAGGTCTATGCTTGTAAAAGGCGACTATGCTTCTTGAAAGAGGCAACTAATTGGATCGGGTAGTCAGGCTCACTGACTTGGTTGATACATGTCATTGTATCCCAATTGCGTGTATCGATGCTCATGATGTCAATCACTGGATTGTCTGGTCCAGACTCGATTATTTACAGACCCTTGCTGACTGAACAACAAACAACAAGCTTTAAACAAACAGCATGTGATTGACTATAGGTTTTTTGGAGAGTGGCCTTGTTTTTCAATAATTTGTCCGTAACAATGATGGGGGAAAAAATAAATTAACAAATAAAAAATATACACAAGAAATGAAATTGTATGTGAGACATTGTGGAAGTCCAGAAAAGATGTGTTGTGAAAAGACAAAGTATTCGTATTCGTAATTTAAAAAAAGTATTTTTTTCTGAGGAGAACATTGTGTGGCTGAAAAAACCTGATATTGTTTCTGTGTAATTAGGGCAAGTTGCAAGATTGATTATATACATCAGTAAGTTGAGTAAGGTGATAAACAGAGGGTTTTTCTACAACTTGTGTCCAGTTTCCTGGCCTAAAGGTGAATGTCTTACAGTCAAAGGAAAGTCCTTCATAGTTGCCTTTCTGTTGGGGTGGATGCAGCATTATCAAAACATAAACTCATAAAAGTCAGATCCTTTATTCAGATTTGATGTCTTTCTTCATCAAGATCTGACAGATTCATCAAAGGAGGTCAAGTCTGGTGACTGAGTTGGGTTTAAAGCCGCTTTTAACACTATTCCAGTTATATCACGGCGTGTCAGCTTAATGTGGGAGGAAAGCCCGAAGTGATGCAGGTCTCAGACGTTTACCACTTCAGTGAATTCCACGAGCACGGGTATGGTGTGCCAACAAACCAAGAAACAATCGGGGCGAACCGGTATTTGAACCAATCATAAGTTTCTGGTGTGCCAAAGGGACGCAACTCTGCACAGCAAATCGCGGCACCTCAGACAGCTGGCCCACCGGTGCCCCCTCAAGTCTGGCGAACTGAGCCATCAATAATCTTGAAGGTATTCAGACTTGTCTCGAAAACAGATGTGGGCTGCTTCCATGGTCTAGTGGATAATGCGTCTTGAACCCCAACTGCGTCATGCCGAATGATGTTGAATGATGGTACTTGTT